TGCTATCTGAAAGTGCATTCACATTATATATGTATTTGTGGATATCACAGTGCATCTCCGCGAGACATGTTTTAAAAAGTGGCATATTAAAAATCATTTTTAAATTAGATGCTTTTTCAAGTATATAATTTCACTCTTCTTAATCATCGTGTCGAGTCAAACACGGAGTGTTAATTAGGGGCGGATGGAATAGCATTAAGAGAGTGTTATATGTCTTATATCTTGAAATATTGGTCTAAAAATTATAGATGCATATTTCTTTCGTTTTATTATAAAAAAAGTATTTATAAATTATATAGAAATCATCCTAAATAAGACTAAAACATAGAGAAAAGTACCAAAATAGGACTTTCTTGTTTTTTTTCCGGAATAGGACTTTGCATTGTGGTAATGTGGCAGTGTACATGTGCAAATTACTATACTTTCTTGGTAATGTATATGACCATGTTTGGTAATGTAAGTCCTATATCAGGAATAAAAATATGGAAATCCTATTTTGGTATATTTTCAATGTTTTAGTCCTATTTTGGTCTTTCTCCCTTAAAAAGTACATTGAGAGTGAGAAGAAGATAAGAATAAAGTTTTATATAATATTGGTGTTATTGTGTAGATATCGACCAGAGAAAAGACCAAAGTAAGATCAAAACATTGAAAATATAACAAAATAGGACTTCCATGTTTTTATTTTCGAAATAGGACTTACATTACCAAACATGGTCATATACATTACCAAAAAAGTATAGTAATTTGCACATGTACACTGCCATATTACCACAATGCAAAGTCACATTACCACAATGCAAAGTCCTATTCCGAGAAAAAAAAACATGAAAGTCCTATTTTGGTACTTTTCTCTATGTTTTAGTCCTATTTAGGATGATTTCTAAGATTTCTAACAATATATTAACAAAAAAAATTAATAAGGAGTATTTTTTAGCCCCATGCAATTAAAATTTTATACTAGGTATATAGTGGTAGTACAAGCCTAATAATTGTGGATGTTATACTCCAATAATTACGGTGAAAGAGGAGCAATGTATCTAATTTTTTTAGAATGCGGTTGAGAGTGCATTTCCATTTATGCCCTCCCTCAACTACTTAATGCGAAATTTTATACGTGGGTCAATTCTTTCCTTATAAATGCTTTTAATATTTTCACTTTAACACCCACATACCTCTGCGACTAATAACCGTCGGATGCATCTGATCTCACGTTTCTCCTTCATTCTTATTTCTTTCATTGAAGTTCATTCTCACTTGAACTGATCCCTATATATATATATATATATATATGTATGTATGTATGTATGTATGTATGTATGTATGTATGTATGTATATATATATATGTATGTATATAAATTATATATATATGTATATGTATATATATATATATATATATATATATATATATATATATATATATATATATCCTTAAACTATTTTAGTCTAAGGCCAATTCATTTAATGTTTACCAACTCTTAAACAAATTCTAGTTTAAGATAGTTAAACTATATTCGAGTTTAAGGTACTTCTAACCAATTCTTAAACTAATTCTAATTTAAGGTACTTCTAACCAACTCTTAAACTAATTCTAGTTTAAGGTATTTCTAACCAACTCTTAAGTTAGGTCATTAGTTTAAGGTACATATTTCCGATTGATTTACCAACTCTTAAACTAGCCTTTGTGTTGGGAAAAATATTATAGATTTTGATGATGCTGTATTTAGATTGTAATAGGGACTTTAGGTCTCCCCCAATATTCAATGTAATTTTTATTTTTAGAAATATTGTTAAAACCGAGTTCTTGAGATTTCCAATAAAATTGTGATATTTTACTAAGTGGTTTGATGCTTGAAGACTTAATCAAATTCAGTGATATGGAAATTGGATATCTTGATCGGAAATGTAAGATACAAGTAAGGATTTCTCAAAGCAATTGAAGATCCTCTAATCCGGAACACTACATGATAACCGGATGTCTCGCTACAACCCGCTGAAGGCTAAGTCATCCGAATCGGAAGACTAGCGCGGATCTCTTCTCACATGGAAGTCAATGAATGACTTTTCCGGATTTGTCAGCGAAAGAACCGGATGCCTCAAGAAAGACCGGAACTCTCAGAAGCGGACAAATGAGAAAAGACTTAGAAAATTATCTAAGTCTTGAATGAAGAAATTATACCCGTTGGTAAGGAAAAATCAATCTCTTGATTTTTAACGGCTAGATTGAAGATAATTAAGCTGATTCAAGAACAAATGACTTGAAGACAAAGTCTGGACTTCTCAAATTGAAGAGCTCGC